CTCAGGTCTGCTCTAATTCTCTATTCTGTAATAAAAGTTTTCTTTGTGCAGTCTTCAGTATTTTGTATTTCAGCATAAATCCTGTGTTCTGAGGCACTTCCTTTGTAGGAGGAGATTCTGGAGAAATCCTACCTAAATAAGTCATCCTTCTCTGGGGGAGGGTGCGCGGGGAGGGGCACAAGCACTTTATACCGTTTCGAATAAGAATAGGACAGGATCTGAGTAGACAGTTGTAGACCTCTAGAATGGTTCCTGTGATTTTTCTCGGAGCTTCACAGAGTTGATAATACTAGCTCTGTGGGCCTACGTAGTATTGAACTTGGGAATAATCCCTTCTAGGTTGTTATCAGTGATTCTCAAACATCCCTGATATTTGATACCAAGTTTGTAGAATACAAGAAGGCATTGTTTGCACACATGACAGCATGGAATAATCCCTGTCTGGCATAGGAAATTGGTTGTATTTCATGAGTTTAACAGAAGGAAGTTTTTAATTTTGTTAAAGTATATACTTCAGTAACCTTGCCAGCTTTTTAAAATTTCATATCTAAGATATAATATACTCCAAAAAAAATCTTGAGATGCTTCCTGCCCCATTCTTTCTTCCTCCATCTTACCCCTGCTACTTAAAAAAAAAAAATTTTTTTAAGCATGGAAGTGTGGTAAGACGGTGTAACCTAGTGTATTCATTATGAACTTTTTAGCACTATTCAGTCCTTATTCTTGTTAATTATAGTTGAAGACTAATTATTAATGAGGCCTGGAAGACTGACATGGAAGGCCAAAATGTTCTGTATAGGTGGCACCTTTTAAAATACTTCGGGACCCTGGCAGCCCTGGTGGTGCAGCAGTTTAGCCCCGTCTGCAGCCCAGGGCATGATCCTGGAGACTCTGGATGGAGTCCCATGTCAGGCTCTCTGCATGGAGCCTGCTTCTCCCTCTGCCTGTATCTCTGCCTCTCTCTCTCTCTCTCTCTCTCTCTCTCTGCATCTCTGTGAATAAATAAATTTTTAAAAAATCTTAAAAAAAAAAAAAAAAAAACTTTGGGAGCCATGAAGTGAAATGTAGAAAGTTCTTTATAAATGTAACCAAAGTTAATTTTTCGAAGTGACTATATAACTTTATATAAAGAATAGGATTCAGTGATTTATTTGCTGCAACAGAAGAAAAATATTTGCCTGCCTTTTACTTGAGAACAGGAGCTTTATCTCCAATAAAAATTGGAGATGATTTTCAAGCCATAGATGGAGGTGGTATCTGGGCTGTCTCCAGACTATATTTTCCTGCCCTCTTGTTAGTGTCCTCCTCCCTACTGTCTGTCCTTTAATCCTGGCCAGATGACTGCAGGGAAAGATTCATTTCCTCTGCCTGACAGCATATGTGGTGGTTTTGACTTTTTACACTGGGCTCCTCTCAATTTCCCCTTAAGTAACTTTTCTTAGCTTTGTCTTTGATTTATGCTCTGCTGGGTCACTGCTTTCTTTTTTTTTTTTTTAATAAATTAATTTTTATTGGTGTTCAATTTACCAACATACAGAATAACACCCAGTGCTCATCCCGTCAAGTGTCCCCTCAGTGCCCGTCACCCATTCACCCCCACCCCCCCGCCCTCCTCCCCGGTCACTGCTTTCTGATTTGAATGTGATCACCACATTCACCTTCCGGACAGTAAACCAAACATTTCCACACAGGTAATGCAATCACCGCAGAAGATTTTAAAGTGTTCCCCCCAAAGAATTCCCAGTGCTTGAGATTCCTGCTCCTGCCTTTGGGGATTTTCACACTCCATGTGGACCTTTGCCTTTCAAGTAATGCAGAGGGACTGATCTTGCCCAGTGACTTTTCTGTCCATGGAAGCTCCTGATTGCCTGTTAGATAGACATATGTGCTTGAGTGGTCTTGGAGAGTGAAGAGTTTACATGTTGATCTCCTCTACTGGTATGGCTATATCCTGTGCAGATTATGCCCAGTCATAATTGTGTGTACACAACATTACTTAGACTACCATTCAGGTACATTAGCAGCATACTGTACTTGTCACAATTCCCCGGTTTCTTCTAGTTCCTGGGTACTCGGTTGCTTTCTAAAACTGACAAATGACCCTTTCTACTATATCAACTTCTATATACCAGTCCTAGTCTTTAAATTCTAGAAGAGAATAGCCATAGAGTTTAGTATTGTGATGAAGAGTAATTCCCGGTGTGATAAACCAGCAACCTCAGATTGATATCTCTCTCTTGATTTTGTTGCTTTCAGTGGATATAGAAGGCATTGGAGGGCAGTAGTATGGTGTGGTATGTTCTTCATTCATCACTGTGGAAGCATTTATGAAGCAGTTAACATTGTTTTTCTCTTTTTAAAAGATAAATAACACACTGCTTTGATAATAGAGATGGAGTATGATGTTTTGGCCTTTGGAAAATGTCTTCTATTTTCAAAATCTACACAAAAATGTTAACTCCTCCAACAAATTATGTATTTAACTAGAATGAGTATAAATGGTACACTGTCCTGTGAATCAGGGGCATCAAACCAGACTTCTGATATGTGTTTCAGTAAAAATGGAAATAATAGTTGATCAGCTGTTCAGATTTTGTTAAGCTTAAAAGTATATGAGTGTTTTATGTACATTCTTGCCATTTTCAAAGCTTTATCTGCCTTAAGAACAAGTGCAAAACAGAGAGCATTCATGAAAGAAGTAATCATCCTTAACATGTATCCTAGAACTCAAAACACCACCAAGTGGCTTTTAAGTGTCTGGATATTGTTTAAATATTTAATTTTTTTGAAAACTGACCGTTCTTCATAGTAGTTTAGGAGCTTAAATATCCTACTTAATAAATATTACAAAAAGTAAAGTTGGGCAGCCCGGGTGGCTCAGCGGTTTAGCGCCGCCTTCAGCCCAGAGCATGATCCTGGAGACCTGGGGTCGAGTCCCACATCGGGCTCCCTGCATGGAGCCTGCTTCTCCCTCTGCCTTTGTCTCTGCCTCTCTCTCTGTGTGTGTCTCTCATGGATAAATAATTTTTTTTAATCTTTTAAAAAATTTTAAGAAAACGGTAAAGTCCTAGAGAGAACTGAAGAAGCTATCACTAGTGGGTAATAGTTATGGGTTTTACCTATAATATTAGAACAGATTTATTCATATGGTGCCTGGGCAGGCTCAGTCAGTAGAGAATGCAACTCTTGATCTTGGGATTGTGAGTTCAAGCCCAATATTGGGTATAGAGATTACTTTAAAAAATAAACAATAAACCCAGATTTATTCTCAAATCTCTAGTAGTAAGATACGAGATTAAGTGCTCTGAGGATATGATACTGTCAGTAAGTTTATAAAAGTTATTATGTTACAAACTACAGTCTTATTTTTGAAAATGAAACATCTGAACTTCCGTGAGCAGAAATAGTCTGAAGGGCGGGTTTTTTGGGTAGCTTTGATTTCTCAGATGTGACTAGTGGTATAGAACCAAACCCCTCAAAAAAAAAAATTAAAAAAATTAAAAAAAAAAAGAACCAAACCCCTCTTTTGTTAGAGAATTTAGCAAGTAAGTTAATACAGCTGCTTCCTTACAGAATATGCTCATTCCCCGAGAAATATCAGGAAACATGGCCAGGATCCTTTACAGTACTTCATATTCCATTAATAAAGATGAATAAATTGTAGCTGGTATATGAGCCTCTGGTTTTGTTTTGGTTCTGTTTTAATGGAAAAAGCCTTTTTGGTAAGTTACAGAGGAACTTTAAACAACTCTTGTCCATGAGATACAGGAGAGGGAAAGTATGAGCCTCAAACTACTACTTCTTTCCTTTACCGTTTCTTTTTTATGAAATACAACTTTGATAGCTGTGAGCATCTCTAAGATTTATTGCATCCCTGCTGGTATTCATGCAGAGCAGCAATATCATATCCCAACCCCTGCTGTTGTTTATATCAGCAGCAATTAAAATTTGATTTACTAATCCCTCATTGCTGCCTCTCCAACTCCTCATTTTTCATTTTGTAGAGCCTTAGGACTGTTACAGCTGAGCATCATGATGTTAACACCTCCTCAGCCATCTGGTACAGGGGAAGAGGCACCTAAACAGATTCTTCAGAACAAAAATCACAAATGAGCAAGATCAGAATAGTGTGAGATCTAAAGAACAGGTAAAGAAGGAATGAAGAGAGCCTGAATGACAGCAGAACTGAAAGCAGAACCCAAAAACATTTTGGATTGGAAGCCCAAGCCCTCCTTTTGCTGGGGAAAGATCTGCTTTTTGCTTTCTAGAAGAAAGCAATTCGTAGTAGTCATATCTAAAACTATTTCTAATTCCAGACTAGAGGCCATTAGCTAGAGGAATCAGGTAAACATTGTAGCCTTACCCACCCTCATCTTTTCATATTTCTTGACCCATGAACCTGTTTTGAAGATATATTTTTTTTCATCCTCTTAGAGAAGAAAGCATATTCCAGCCACTGCCACTGCTCATTTTATCTTAGTTGAAAGTCTTATAGAGGTTTATGTTGAGAGTGGTGGGCTCCCTATTTAAGGAAAAGCCATATTATCTTGATTCATAATGCTAGGAATTTTCTGTATTGACTACTGTCTATTTAGGTAGATCTTTAATCAGTGAAATGGTTTGTAAGTATGATTGTTCCTTTGTCCAACAGTATTAACGTTCTAAATTTGGTCTGCTTAGTGGCTACTGAAATTTTACTAATATGGAAGCTAAAATTGATTTCAGCTTTTGGTGATCCCCCCACCCCTCTTTTGGTGATTATTGTTTTTTTGTGTCTGGGTGAGGTTGGTGTGCTATAGACTGTGATGTATTGGCTCATTAGGCTGAAATGAATGTAGCCAAGCTAACTTTTTCTCAGTGCTTTGTAGCAGTTGTTAGTTTAAAATCCAAAATGAAAACAAAACACTCAGGGACACTAATGTACTTGATTTTGTTATTGCTTGCTGTTGCTTCACCTTTCCTTCCATATCTTGCTCTCATGCTTCCTAATGCCTGAGCAGACTGCATCGTCAGAGCGCCGAGGAGAGTGGGAAATCCAGCCCAGCCGGCAGACCAATACCTCGTACCTGACGTCTCACTTGGCTGCAGACCGCCATGGGGGATCAGTGCAGGTACTTACTGCCTTTATTGCCCTTTCCTGGCCTTTTCAGCTTGGCTGGTGGAATGTTGACTTGCTTCTGAAACTTTGGTTCTTTTAGAAAGGAAACTACTGTAAGGTTGAGCTGCCTCTATAGTTAACTCAATATCTGTGTGCTGATTTTCTGCCTAAGTGGACTTGTAAGAATCACTTGTTGAGATGATTATTGGTTGTTGTCATTGACTAAGAAACATCTATATGATTTCTGAACTGGTTTCTGGTTAAACAAATCTTACAACCTTGATCTACTCATGATAAACCATAAAAATAATGTCAAGGTAGAAGTATGTTAGTGTCTAGTATGTGAATTTTACAGACTCGAAATATAGAAAATAAGTATTTTTTCGGATAGAGACTGCATATGTAGCTCATTCCATGATGTATGTGCCTTAGCACATAAGAGATGAGGATGTTAATTGGTCAAAGTCATTTCTGAGTGGGTACCCAAGAAGTTGGGTTGTTTCTTTTTTCCTTCTGGAGTAAGTGTGGTCTTAGAGAATTATTTCTGATTTCATTTGGACTATTTTGAAGCTCTGTTGTCTCTTGTACTTAAGAACATCTGTGTTTCTTTACTCTTCTTATATGTTACTGTTTTAATAATCTTAACTCAAATATGTCTCTCATACTGTTAAGTGACACTATCAGTTGGGGCACATAAGTAAACTCAGAGCCACCAAATCATATAAAAGGATAGACAAACCTTTTGCATGTAGAAATGCATTTTGATAGGCTTGATTGTCTAGAATATGTTTTTTACATGGAGTGATTCATGAACACTGTGTTATTCACAGGAAGTCAGGAGACAGCTGTTGGTTCTGTTAAAAAAAAAATCATAAGAACATCTAGGTAATAATGATGGATTGAACTCAAAGATCTGCTCTCACCTTCACCTGAAACAGCACTAAAAGAACGATAAAAGGCTTTTTTTGAAAGGCATGAATCCATACAAGGAGAGAAAAAACAGACGAAGCAATAGCAATAAAATGTGACATGCTAGAAAGCACATAGGCAATTATTCAATGACTTACGAGTCCCAAGAAAACTGAATTCTGAGCCAATAGAGCCTATTTTCACTGGGTAATCCTCCAAAGACTCAGAATTGGCTTTTTACAAGGGGAAGTTGGTGTGGAGGGCCATGTGCTAAAATAATGAGTGGTTAAAAGTCTGTTTTCTAAGAAGCCAGAGATCCCTAGATGTTCTCCCCATCCCTAGCAAAGACCAAATATTTATTCTTTGGCAAGGGTAAAATAGAGGGTATAACAGTTGGGGGAAATGAGCACATTTGGGGGTGAGGAGCTATATTGAAGAAAAGGAACATTGAATTAATGTGTGATCCATACTTAAAAGTCCCACCCCTGTACTCTTTGCAGTCTCCCACTTTTTTTTCTTTTTCTTTTTCTTTTTCTTTTTCTTTTCTTTTTTTTTTTTTTGAGAGAGAATGGTGGGGATTGGTGGGGGAGGGGCACGGTGAGAGAGAGAGAATCTCAAGCAGATTCCCTGCTGAGCACGGAGCCCAACACTGGCTTGATCTCACAACCCTGACATCATGACTTGAACCAAAATCAGGAGTCCAGATGCTTAACCAACTGAGCCACCCAGGTATCCCGAAAGAGAGAATCTTTTTGTTTTTGTTTTTGTTTTTTAATATTTTATTTATTTGAGAGAGAGGGAGAGAACAAGCAGGGCAAGCAGTAGAGGGAGAAGGAGAAGCAGGCTCCCCACTGAACAGACAGCCAGATGCAGGGCTCTAGCCCAGGGCCCCAGGATCACAACCTGACCTAAAGGCAGACGCCTAACTGATTGAGCCACCAGGTACCCTGAGAGAGAATCTTAAGCAGGCTCCATGCACAGTGCAGAGCCCAACATGGGGCTTGATCTTACGACCTGAGATCATATCCTAAACCAGACACCTCAGGATGCTATTTTAAAAAGGAACATTCTGGGACACTTAGGTGGCTCGGTGGTTTGACGCCTGCCTTCGGCCCAGGGTGTGATCCTGGAGACCTGGGATCAAGTCCCACGTTGGGCTCTCTGCATGGAACCTGCTTCTCTCTCTCTGCCTCTCTGTCTGCCTGTGTCTCTGCCTCTCTCTCTGTGTGTCTCTGATGAACAAATAAAAAAATCTAAAAAAATTAAAAATAAAAAGGAACATTTAAGAGCAAATAAAAAAAAAGAGAGCTCTTAGAAATTAAGAACATAACTTAAAGCTCAAGAGTTTGAGATAGTTTAAGAAAGCCTCCCAGAAAGTAGAGCAAAGAGAGAGGTTAAAATGATAGAAATTATTTCTTCAAAAAATAAAAAATAGGAATGCCTGGGTGGCTCAGCAGTTGAGCATTTGCCTTTGGCTCAGGGCATGATCCTGGGGTTCCGGGATCAAGTCCTATGTTGGGCTTACTGCATGAAGTATGCTTCTCCTTCTGCCTATGTCTCTGCCTCTGTGTTTGTGTGTCTCTCATGAATGAATAAATAAAATATTTAAAAAATAATAAAAATAAAAAATAGAGTTACCTTGTAACCCAGTAATTTCACTTCTGGATATTTATCCAAAGAAAATGAAAACACTAATTCAAAAAGATACATGCACCCTTCTGTTTATTGAAGCATTACTTACAGTAGCCAAGATATGGAAGCAATCTAAGTGTCCATGGATAGATGAATGGATAAAGAAGATGTAGTGTATGTGTGCACATGCATATTACTTGGCCACAAAAATGAAGTCTTGCCATTTTTGACAACATGGGTAGACTAGAGGCTTTTGTGCTAAGTGCAATAAGTCAAACTGAAAAAAAATACCATATGTTGCCCTTATCTGTGGAATCAAAAAACCAAAACAAATGAACAAGAAACCGACTTATAAATATGAGAACAAATTGGTAGTTGCAAAAGAGGTTAAGAGGATTAAGAGATACATACTTCCCGTTGGAAAATAAATAAGCTGGGGTACTTGGGTGGCTTAGTCAGTTAAGCATCCAACTCTTGATTTGGGCTCAGGTCATAATCTCAGGGTCATGTAATCTAGCCCCACGTCAGGCTCTGAGCTGCTCATGGAGTCTGCCTAAGATGCGCTCTCCTCTCCCCCTCTGCACCCCAGCCCCTGCTCACTTTCTCTCTAAAAAAGAAAAGAAACAAGTCACAGGGATGAAAAGTACGGCACAGGGAATATAGTCAGTGATGTAATAACTTTGGGGCCACTCAGCTAGCTCAATGGGTAGAGCGTCTGGCTCTTGATATCAGGGTTGTGAGTTTGAATCCCATGTTGGATGTAGAGATTACTTAAAAAAAAATTTTTAATGTAATAATTTTGTATGGTGACAGAGGGTAACTACACTTATCGTGGAGAGCATTTTATAATGTATGTTATTGTTAAATTACTATGCTGTACATCTGAAACATATATGTCAACTATACTTTAAACATTTTAAAGATAAAAGGGTTTTAAAAATGAAATAGTAAAAGACAAAAGATAATTAACTCTAAGGAAAACAAGAAATTGAGGATCCCTAGGTGGCTCAGCGGTTTAGTGCCTGCCTTCGGTCCAGGGTGTGATCCTGGGGTCCTGGGATTGGGTCCCGCGTCGGGCTCCCTGCGTGGAGCCTGCTTCTCCCTCTGCCTGTGTCTCTGCCTCTCAGTCTGTGTCTCTCATGAATAAATAAATAAAATATTAAAAAAAAAAACAAAACAAATTATACAGGGAAGGAAAGAACCATGGTATATACTCTATGGCACAACTATAAATAGTTTTTAATAGTCATAATATAAAACTATGAATTGATCTGATCAGAATTACAGTATAAACTATAGTAGAAGAAGACTAGAGGGATGGAAAAGGTGAATCTAATGCCTAAAAATAAAGAATCAAGATGCATGTTATTCAGAGATATGGAGGTAAAAACCAAAGGAATCCATTATAAAGGAGGAAAAATAGTGGAGTGGGAAAGAGACTGCTATTTTTCCTAATGATCCTTGTAGAAATATATTTTTTTAAGATTTTATTCATTTATTTGAAAGAGAATGTGCACTAGTGTGGGGGTAGGGGCAGAGGCAGAGCAAGAGAAGCAGACTCCCTGCTGATCAGGGAGCCCAGCACAGGGCTTGATCCCAGGACCCCGAGATCATGACATCAGCCAAAGGAAGGCATTTTACTGACTTAAGCTACCTAGGTACCCCGAATCCTTGTAGAAATAATTTATATGCATATACATACATATCAGCCTTCATCTGTCACATTTGCAGAAATTTATCCATCTAGTATTGTTGAAACAGGAGTTTAAACTATTTCAGAAGATTATTTGGTATTATCTTTTAAAATCTTAAATATCTACACTTTTGATTCAGTTAATCCAGTTTCAGGTAAATATTCCTCAGAAATGCAGATACTGAGAGGATTCATGTTTTAGAACAATGCTGCTAAAGGAAATGAGTCATTTTTGTAATTTCAAATTTTCTAGTAATCACACTAAAAGTGTAAAAATAAACAGGTGAAACTAACTTTAATAACATATTTAATCTAAAAAATAATAAATAGCATATTTAATCTAGTTTAAAATACTTCAACATGTAGTCAGTATTACAAATAGTTATGAGAGGGATGCCCAGCCTTGTTCAGTTGGTGGAGTGTGCGGCTCTTGATCTCAGGATTGTAAATTCAAACCCCACATTGGGTGTAGAAACTACTTAAAAATAAAATCTGGGGGGAATAAATATGAGATATTTTCCTTTTTTTTTAAATGTAGTGTTTGAATTCTGATGTATATGTTACTCTTACAGAACATGTTTGAACTAGCTGCATTTTTCGTGCTCAGCAGCCACAATAGCTTAGCTATTGTTAAGGATGCTGCAGTTCTAGAATATTTGTTGCTACTTGTTTCTTTTTTTAAAAAATATTTTATTTATTTATTCATGAGAGACACAGAGAGAGAGGGAGACACAGGCAGAGGGAGAAACAGTCTCCATGCAGGGAGCTCGATGTGGGAT